CCCCCCGCCGGTTCCTGTCTTAACCGTGGTCGTTTTGGAGAAAAAGTCCACAACACCCCTTCCAGTACCGGAAGGCCAGTCCCGTGCATCCCTCAGCCTTCCCTTCTTTCGCCTGAATGTGGGGGCTTCGACCGCTTTCGGGAAGCCCTGAACAGCTCAGCTCTGTTACCCTAGGGCTGAAGGGAATCCTTGGGGGGGGGAAGATGGAAGGAATGGCCCCGTGCAAGCCTTGCTTCCTGAGTCTAGGATGGTCCCCTGGCAAAGACAGTTTGGGGTTTGCTTTTTTTTTTGTTTTGCTTTGTGTTATATTTTGCTTGTTTGTGCCTTTTAAGAAGTTTGGGGAATTCATAATGTTTTATTTCTTTTTGCTTATCAAAAAGTGCCCAGAATCTGATTTATGAATATAGCCTTAATTAAGCAAGGCAGGGAAAAGGTCTCCTCCCTCCCTCCCTCCGAGTACCAGCCTGGATCTAGTGCGGGAGACAGAAGAACAGGAAGCTCTTCTTCCCCTGTGGTTCACCTGCGGCACTTGCTCCCCTGGGCATGGCAGTGGGGGGGGTGGAAGGGAGGGGGGCTCACCAGAGAATTGGATCCGTTCTCAAAGACTCCACGTTCGCTTGGGAGGGGGGCAGTGTGCCTCCAAACCATGGAGAGAAAAGGTGGTCCCTCCACACCTGGTTGAGAGCTCTCCAGCCACATCTGGTTGGCCACAAATTGCTTAGCCAAGGTGAGCCTGGCCTGATGCAGCAGGACCTTTCTTACCTTGGTTAAATTCAGGAAGGATCCATGGATCTTTTAGAAAGAGGAAACTGTGGGGACCTTTTCCTGCAGGCTGCGGGAGCCAGATCGGCCTTTCCCAAGGCACCTTCGTCTGGAGGCGAGAGGCTCCCTGCCGCCTTGCCTGCAGGGGTGGCTGCTGGAATGACGTGGCTGTTTCTGCCTTGCAGGCCCCCCGGCTCACTGCGCCCCTTGTTTTGCTGGGACCGTGGCTGCGTCCCTGTGCGTAGCAGGTGGGGCAGTGGCTGGCCTGAAGCGCTACGGCCATTGTTCGGTGCTCCTCGCCCCGGACGTGATTCTAACCGCTGGAGGTTTTGGGGACCACGGTGGGCGCCACTGCCGCCTGACTGAGCTGCATATGCTGGTCAAGCACGAGGATGGTTGGAGAAGCGACAAGGTCAGGCTGGCCAAGCTAGGGACGGCTTGGGGTAAGTGACAGAGATGGGGGGGGTACCCCCTGGTGCAGGCAAGTGGGCCCTCCCTGGCTACCAGAGCGTTCTCCTCTTCCTCTGCAGACGGGCGGCTTTTCCACACCACGAACGTCCTGTGCTCGGGCTGGGCTGTCGTGCTCGGTGGCCGCAAGTCCCCAGTCAGCCCTGCTCTGCCACCCCTTCGCTTAAGGGGGCTGGCAGATGCCGATCCTTTGAGCCCTGGCAGTCCCATCATTGAGCTTGCTCTGCTGCCGCCTGTGGAGGGCCTCTCCGTGCCCCGCTGGAGACACACCGCCACCGAAGTCACCCATGAAGGTAGGAAAGAAAAACTCACCCCGTGGGCGGTGGGGGGGGGGAAGTGGCAGAGAACGACGCTGGCGAAGTCGAGCGGCTCTTCTGGGAATCTCTCCCCACTGCCCTGTGCCTTGTACTCAGCACCCCCAGTTTTGTCAGGCACACTTGGGCAATAATATTTTTTGGCAAAGAGTTGGCAGGCATGCGACCCAGGGGGCAAATGCTCCAGGATCTCAGAACAAAGCCAATGGTCCTGGGGCTCAGGAGTCGGAGTCCTTCGGCTTTATGGGAGGAGGAGCTCTTCTCCCTAGCATAGTGGCCCCCAACCTTTTGGGCACCAGGGGCCGGTTCCGTGGAGAGGGGTTTTTCCGTGGGCCAGAGGAGGGCTGTCTTCGCGTGCTGCCTGTGTCCCACAGATGGGGCTTTGCTTATTTGTGTGGACCGGTTTCTGACATGCTGCGGATTGGTGCTGGTCCATGGATCGGGGGTTGGGGACCCCAGCCCTGACAGACCTGAGCTGGGTCGGGTGCCTAAGGAGGAGGAGGAGGAGGAGGAGAGGGAGAGGGGAAGGTGGGGAAGGGCCTGACGTTCTGCTCTCTTTCTAGGACAGGCTTACCTCTTCGTCTACGGAGGCTGCAGTTCTGGGCAGTCGGTGCGAGCCGATTGGTGTTTTCTGCTTTTGGAGGGGCTCCACCGCCAGCAGGTGCAGATGGGTTACGGCCTCTCTGGGCCAGTTTAGGAGCCTGTCCTCCGTTTAAGTGCAAGGGCCCTTGGCTGGGGTGGCCGGATGGAGAGCCCTGGGAAATAAGTGGGTGGGTTGTGCCTGAATTTGAAGGTTAGCCTCCGTGTCATCCCTTCCGCCAACAGAATGGCATAAAGAGCTCCTCCAAAGAGGTTAGGACCCCAAGGGTCTCCTTTCTCAATTCTCTTTTGTTCCCTGTCAGAAATAGTAATTAACTTGCTTAAACTCTGGCCAGGTAAAACACCTCAGGGGACTTAAACGCATAGGAACCTGGAGTTGGAAGGTCTTGTGGTCCAGACCCCTGACCCGCAGAAATCCTTAGGCCGTTCCCAAATAAATGACTGGCTTGAAAACCTCCAGTGGTGGAGGCCCTGCTTTCCCAAGCAGTGGCTACTTGAGAGCTCTCGTGAGGAAATTTTTCCTTATTCCGTGTTTGGGTCTTTCTCTGTAGGGCTTCCACCCAGCGGGCTCTCGTCCTGCCCTAGGGCCCCACAGGGAAGGCACGCCTGGCCTCTTCCCCTGGGAAGCCCTTCAAGCAGGGGAAGGCTGGATTCCCATCCCCCGGAGCCTTCTCCAGGCCAAACATACCCAGTTCCTCTAGCCACTTTCCGCAAGGTGTAGCCTCCCGCCTCATCTCGGCTGCACCCGTTTCTGTTCCTCGGCATCCTTCTTGTACCGAGGTCACCAAAACTGGAAACGGTCTTCCAGGCGAGGTCTGAGCAGTGCGATGCTGATCAAGGTTCCGGCTAAAGATTCCAACGAAGCAAATATACCGGAGCCTTTCCGATCTCTAATGCAATGCTTTATTGGATACAGCATACCGGCACTATTGAAAAGAAAACCAGCTCTGGCAATATGGTGGGAAAAAGATTATTAAAAGAGTAAAACTTTCCCTCCCCTCTCCGACAGGTCAGGTCACATTGTCCAATTAATCTTAGAGCAGATGTTATGAGAAGAAGGTCTCTGTTTGCCACCACATTCCTCCTTTGGTGGCCTTTGGTTCCCATCGTATAGAATCCACCTGTGCATTCCCAACCTTCCCCTCCCCCCTCGCATGGCGACTCTGAAGGCAAGCGGTCTCCATAGCTTGACACGTCACTTCCTTTGATCTTGACCATGTGCCTCCATTGAGGCAGCCCACATCGCATTAGCTCACTGGGCAGCTGCAGGGCGTGCTGGCTCATGCCTCTACTGTTTCTTCTCTTATGCTGGGTTTTTACTGTTTGTAAGCTGCCCAGGGTCGCTAAGAGTGAGTGGGCGACCATATAGATTTTCCAAATAACCTTTAGCCAGGACAGAATCCTGAACATGCCCCTCTATGCACCTCTCTTGATTAAGGGTTAGGTTTTATTAAGGACCAGAGATTGTGGGTGGCTGCTGGTCCAGCTATCAAGCCATCCATCGCACGGTTTCCCATTTGGTCAAGAAGAAGGCTGTGGTCAGCGGTCAAATGATGGTGTCATCCAAGCATCTTGCCCAGCTAATCTGGTTGCGTCCAAAAGAGCCGTAAGATTTGCCTACCATGATCCATAACAAACACACCGCAGGCTGCTAGCGTTCATCTTGCTCCTTTCAAAGGGCTTGTAGACCCCTGCTTGATTTATCTTTTGCAGCAGGCGTAGGTTGATGGCTCCGTTGCCTCCTGGGTCTTCTTTCGCGCATCTTCAAAGATTGGAATAACATTAGCCCTTCTCCAGTCTTCTGGTTTTCTAAATTGCTGGCCCACCCAGGGTTGACTTGGATTCTTGAGAGAAAGAAACTATCTTCTTTTTAATAATCACAGTAAGGTTTTGCCAGCCGATGATTTTCATTAGCTGGGCGCCTTTGCTTTCACTCCAAATGACGGCTCTCGCGGCCTCTGCTGGGTTAGCTGAGCCGCCCAGCTCTTTGGAAGGGTGGGGGGTTTGGTGAGGGTAGTCATGACATATTCTGCATTGTGCATTTTGGTCAGGAAAGGAAGCAGTTGGCAACAGTATTGTTGTCATCCCCTCTGTACATGCCGTCTTTTTCAGTTTGGCGCACTTATTAGCCAAAGCCTGATTTCACCCCAAGATAGGCGAGTGTATTCCTTGTGACGGCTAACCCACTGTTGTGTGTGACCATCAACTAAGAAATCTATGCCTTGTGTTGGCACAGGATGCTGCTTGGAGGGGGTGGGGGGCATTTTTCATAACGTGGCTTACTAAGCGGGAAAAAAAGACAGTGAAAACAGTTCTGGGAGACGCTCCGGTTTTGCCAGCTCCCTCTTGGGCAGGCACTTCGTTCCAGGGAAGTATGAGACGTGCCCTTCGCTTCAGTTGGGCCAGGAAGGCTGCCAGCTCGTACCTCGCTCGTTCGTTTTGATTGGGCTTCTGTGCCGCCTATCCCGCTAATGCCTCCCCTCTGCTCCCCCTTGTCAGATTCCAGTGGAGGGTCCCGTTCCAACCGGCCGTCACTCGCACAGTGCCTGCAGCTGGGCTGGGGGGGTGCTCATCGCCGGCGGCCTGGCAGCCTCTGAGGAGCCGCTGGGCAGCCTCCTGTTGCTGAAGCCGGCCGCCAGAGGCTTCCGGTGGCATTCTCTCGAGACCTGCCCCCCGCTCACGCCCAGGTAAGTCGGTTGCTCATCTGCTCAGGCAGGAGGGATTTCACTTGCTGCCTGGCTGCCAACCTGCAGTTAATCCAAGTTAGTTCAGAGAACAGAACTTGCAGCCCTGGAGCCGAGGCTGCCACTTACTTGAGAGCTAGTTGTGCACGGAGGAATGTTTAAAAAATGAACCAGATGCTACGTCGCTCTCAGAAAGTGGTCACGGGTTCGTTTGTGGCTGGGGAGGGGGTGGTGCCTTTGAGGGACTTCACCGTGATGGAGGTTCCTCTTCTAGAGCAGCCGACCTGCTCCTCCCAACCGATGGGCTGTGGCTCACGGAACAGCCACACACACACACACTGCAGACGACAGCAGCAATGGGCACCCGCTTTCCCACAGCTGGAGAAGGAAAGGAGGGGAGGTGGGCTCTGACTTATCTGGAGCCCTGGCTTCAGGACTGACAGGCACCTTCATCTAGAGATGGGTTGCAAGGGAAGAGTTGTACGTCAGAGATGTTGGCTTTGGATTCAGTTCTGCCTCAGGGAAGACCATCCGGAGGGGACATTTCTCCATCCAGGTCCAAATTGCAGTGCTGGAGAAAGCGGGGGCTGGGAGGGAGTGGAAGCTATCCGGCCTGGCACTGCTTGTTAATTGTGGCCTGAGCAGTTGCTTAGAGCCTCATGTGGACCACGTGGTGACAGCCTGCCTCAGGGTGATTGAGGGCTCAGGAGGGGGCTGTCTTTAAGGAGGACAGTTGCATCACACGGATATATCTTCACTCCCAGAATCATCGGCCCCTTGCTTGGCTACCAGCGCTTCACCCACCCAACTGAAGGGGTGGCAGCGGCAGAGAGGTCTGGGGGGGAGTCAGCTGGAGCTGCGGTGCTGCTGGGGCTCTGCTGAGGCCCCAGGATCAACACTCGCAGCTGCAGCTGAGCGAGGCTCCCAGCGGGGGGGGGGGCGGGTGGTGGCCGGCAGCCGCACACAGTCTTTGGGGAAAGAGTCAGCTGGGGCTGCCGGGCTGCCGGAACAGGGCAGGGACCCCAGAATAGGTGCACCCAGCTCCAGCTGATGAGCACTGCACGAAAAGGGCAGCCCGGCAGTGAGTGGACCCCTGGGGGAGGAGAGGAGAGGATATGGAAGGAGGGGCTTTGGCGGGAAGGAGGAGAAGTGAGGGGGGAGAGAAGGCGATAGGCAGGAGAGGAGAGATGGGAAAGCCTGAGGGAGAGGAGGGGACAGCAACTGGCCCTTTGAGGGCAACCGTAATGCTGATGCGGCCCTCAATGAAATTGAGTTTGTCACCCTTGATCTAGAGCACCAAGTGTAGCCACTGTTAATGAGGAGGGAGGACACACACACCCCTGACACTCAGCTCCGCCTGCCTGCCTGCGATTCAGCCGGTGCCCGTCCCGTCCCCAGATCATTGGAAAGTGTTAGGCGCTGCAAGCCCTGGGCCCCACAAGACACCTTCACCCCTCGAAACCCCTCAGAATCTGTTTCACATACCTGAAGCCAAGGAATAGACTTTGGGCGCTCTCACGGGCAGGCCTCACACAAACAAACCAGGGATTCTTTCTGATAAACTAGGAAATGTGGCAGAGAAGTCGTGTTTTGCTAGGAGATCAGATGGATCCCAGCCTTTCTCTACTGAGGAAGGTCCCCTTGTGCCCCCCCACTTCCCACCCCCAAACAAAAAGGTTTGGCTGGGTCTCGGCTCCTCCCATCGAACGCAGAGGAGACCCTCCCATCTCTTGCTTTCACCCAGCAGAGTTTGGTTTTCTCAAGAGTGGCAGAGCCACCGGGGGAGGGGGGGGAGCGTTGGGGGCCTGGAGAAGCTGGAACCGGCCCAGCGCTGAAGGACTAACACACACACCCGCTCTCTCTCTTTGGTCTTCCGCCCAGGTATTCACACACGGCTCACGTGCACCGTGGGAAGCTTTTGCTCGTGGGTGGGGTCTGGCTGAGCCCTCCTTCGGTGCCAGGCGTTGCCGTGATAGACCTGGCGACAGGGGCCCTGGCGGAGTATCGTATTGACACAGTGAGTCGAAACTGAGGCAACTAGACTTGGGGTTCCCCTCGGCTCTTCTCCCCACGGAGGCCACGCACCCTCGGTCAGGGTCAGCAGCAGCAGGAGAGGCTGTTCTTTTGGTATGGATACTGGTACTGAGTTACCCGGTTCATGGGCTCAGTTGTCTTCCACAGAAGACAGTTAAATTTATTTTGCAGAAGATAGGTGTTCCCAGGCCGAGCTCGATCCTGTCCTTTGTTTTGCTGTTCACAACTGCTGGAGGAATACAATTTCTTCCTTTGCTAGAGCCACTAAGAGGAGCTGAGTTACTCTGTCCTAACGGCCTTGGCTCCTTTTCCTCAGGAGCCTTGCTACAGATGCACTTCTGAATGCATAAATCCTGTGTCAGGAAACAGATCACCTGAACAGAATGTGAGGGGGCCCCACTGTGGTTTCTGCCTCAAGCCCACACTGAGCCCAGGAATGGGATTTACAGGGCCTTTAGAAAGTATTCGGAAACACCCCCCCTTTCACTTCTGTCAATTTTGCTATGCGGCAACCTGATTCTACAGTGGTTGAAATTCCTTTTTTTTCCTCATTAATCTACACTCGGTGCTCCATAAGGTCAAAGTGAAAACAGAATTTTAGAAATGTCTGTAAATGTATTAAAAAGAAAAGACAGAAATTTCACATTGGGATAAGTATTCAGACCCTTTGCAACAACACTTGAAATTTAACTCAAGTGCCTCCTGTTTCTCTTGATCATTGCTGATATGTTTCTATACCTTAATTGGAATTGACCTTTGGTAAATTAAATTGATTGGACATGATTTGGAAAGGCACACGCCTCTCTATAGAGGGCCTCACAGCTGACAATGCATACTGTAGCAGAGCAAAAGCCATGAGGTCAAAGGAGCTGCCTGCAGAGATCAGAGACAGGATTATTGCAAGGCACAGATCTGGGGAAGGCTGCAATAAAATTTCTGCTGCACTGACGGTCCCCAAGGGCTCAGTGGCCTCCATGACTCTCAAATGGAAGACGTTTGGCACAACCAGGACTCTTCCAAGAGCTGGTCGTCCGGTGAAACTGAGCAATCGGTGGAGAAAGGCCTTAGTAAGAGAGGTGACCAAGAACCCGGTGGACCCTCTGACTGAGCTCCAAAGATCCTGTGCGGAGATGCCCCAAAGATGCTTCAGAGCTGCTTCTTGGATGAGAAGCGAAACGTCCCCAAAGAAAAACAAGAAACTTGTCCAGTTGCCTCGTGAAAAAGCGTCTTTGGGACAACTATCACCTGGATGACTGAAAATCTCCAGAGATCCTGTGTACAGGTGGGACAGAGTTTCAGAAGGTCAACCCTCCACCAATCTGGGCTTTATGGCAGCGTGGCTAGACAGAAGCCTCTCCTCAGTGCAGAACGCGTGAAAGCCCGCTTGTTGTTTGCGAAAAAGCGCCTGGAGGACTCTCAGACTGTGAGGAACCAGATTCTGTGGTCTGATGAAACCAGGACTGAACTCTTTGGCCTCCCTTCTAAACGTTCTCTCTGGAGGAAACCAGGCACCGGTCAATGTCATCCCCACTGTGAAGCGTGGTGGTGGCGGTGGTGGCATCGTGCTGTGGGGGGGGTGTGTGTTCAGCCGCAGGGACTGGGAGATTGGCCAGGGTTGAGGGAAAGCTGAGTGGAGCGAAGAGCAGGGAAAGCCTCAGCGACAGCCACAGCACTCGGATCCTCAGACTGGGCCGAAGGTTCACTTTCCAACGATCCTAAGCACACAGCCAAGACAACACAGGAGTGGCTTAGGGACAACTCTGTGAATGTCCTAGAGCGGCCCAGCCAGAGCCCTGACTTGAACCCTACTGAACATCTCCGGAGGGATCTGAAAAGGGCTCTCCACCAACAGTTGCCATCCTACCTGGCTGAGCTTGGGAGGATCTGCAAGGAAGATTGGCAGAAAATCCCCCAATCCAGGTGTGCAAAGCTTGTTGCATCGTACCTGAAGACTCGAGGCTGTAATTGCTGCCAAAGGTGCTTCAACAAAGTACTGAGTGAAGGGTCTGAATGCTTGTGGCAAAGTGATATTTCAGTTTTTGCTTTTTAATAAATGTACAGACATTCCTAAAGTTCTGTTTTCACTTCATCATCATCATGGGGTACTGAGTGTAGATTAATGAGGAAAAAATGTATTTCAACAACAGGCTGCAACATAACAAAATTGACAAAAGTGAAGGAGTCTGAATACTTCTGAATGCACTCTAATTTACAAGAGGAGGAGGAGGCAAGGCAAGGCAGGTATCGCTCAGGTACTCTCAAGAGCAGGTCCAGAGTTCACCCAGAGCTGCCCAGGGCACAAGCAGCAGCAGCAGCAGCAGGAGCTGGGAAAGGCCTGAAGGTATCCATGCCAAGAAGGAGGCAAGGTCTGGAGAACCAAAACAGGGCAAGGCTGTCAGGGAAGGGAGGCTGCTGGACTTCTCAGGAAGTTGTGTGCTGTGGTTTGATGTGCCTGGATCTTCCTGGGATCCTCGTGACAGGTGGAGACTATCGTCCTGCTTCACATTTCCTGTTGCGTTGAACCAGGAGTTCCCTTGCCCACCTCTTGCCACTTCATGCCCCCCACCTTTAGGGGGGGAACAAGGGAGAAGGTAGATCTGTTTTTGTGTTCTCAGCTGCCTGGTTCCTAAAGTTGCCTCTTGTCCCTTTCATCTGTCGCAGACGTTTCTGGAGTGGCCCCTGATGTTACACAACCACAGCAGTGTCTTCGTGCCTGACAGGGAGGAGATGATTCTTATTGGGGGGGGCGGAAACTGCTTCTCTTTTGGGACGCATCTGAACTGGTTGCCTGTCCGCCTGGATCTGAGCAGCATCTGGACAGCTGGGCCTTGACATCTGGCGGGTCAAGAGGACAGGAGATGGGCCGAAGAAGCACTGGGTGATACAGTGGACTGGACTCCTTGCGTTCAAGAACATCCTCCGGCCCGGCCCATTGGACACAGTGGCAGCTGCGGTCCTGCTCCACGAAGATAATTCCGTGGGTGACCCCTGGCTGCTGGGGCAAGGGGTCCAGGCACAGGAGGTCACCCACCCTAAAATGATCGGTCCTGCCTCCTTTGCTACCTCCTGGACAGCGGCCACTGTCAGAGGGTCCGGTAGGTTTCTGGGGAATTTTTACAGTTTCCTTCATCTACCCTCTCCTCTGCTTCCCCTGTGCCAACCTTCTTGTGCAGCAGCATTTTCTACTGATTTCAGCTGCCTGGAGGGAGCGACACTGAGCAAAAGGGGTTTGTTCCCAGTGGAAAGCAAAGCCATTTTCCTTCCAGGGGTGGACCTCTATCGTATAGGCCATTCTGTGTTCAGTTCTGAGCCTCTGGGTTATATCCCAAATAATTGTAATTATCTCCCGCTAAGTAGGTGACACTGTTCATTTAATAGCAGCATAGCAAATACAAGATTTTGCTATATTTGAAGGGATCAGCTGCAGTGAGTAAAAAACTCTTTAAAAAACCAAGTGGGGATGAAGCTGAAGAACACGAACCAGCACCAGCCAGTGGGGCTTAACACTCCACCTCCTGCTATGTGGCTGCTGCTGCTGCTGCTGCTGCTGCTGCTGGAATCCAGGGAAGGAGCTCCTTGGCTTTCCTCCCGTTCTCCACCCGTCCTTATTTTTGCAGCCGGCAACACCCACCACGAGCCCAAAGGCAGGGACAGCATCCATCTTGGCAGGAGTGGTGGAGTTTCTCTTGAGTCTGTTTTATTGTTGAAAAAATACCATGGCCACTAGATGGCGGTGTTTCTCACCCGAAGACCAAAGGATTCCAGGGGAAAGCCGGAAGGGCTGCTGGAGGATCGAAAGGGCTGGATCGCTGCCACCCAGAGCAGCCAATCGGATCCCTTTTCTTGCTGCGTTGTGAGCTTAGCTACAGACTGCTACCTGGGTCAGCCACCAGTTAGCTCTCCAGGGGGCCCTGGGCGGGGTCTTGTAGCCCACTAGTCCCCATCCGGCCGACCTCTTTCCAGCCTAGAAAGCTCTGCAGACTCCTGTAAATCCTGGAGTTCCTGTTAACCACGGCTTGCTCAATCGCAGTTCAGCATGTTGTGCAAACAGCCCTCACGGGGAGAAGGGCAGTCCTCTGGAGGACCTTGTCCTGCCTCCTTGGCCTCACCATCTTTGCCTTCCTTTGAAAAGAAGGCCATCCCCTCCTCTCTGAAGTTTGCAAACTCTGTCCTATTCCTGGGCAAGACCCTTCCCACGGCTTCCTCAGCCCCCCCCTCCCCGCTTGCTTCTCCTCAAAGGGGCTTGTGGCCCAAACGCCACCCTGCTCCCCTCCCCAAGCCAGGCTGGATTTGAACTGGGCCACACAGCCTGTTCCAATAAGGACTAGAAGCCGAGTCTCCTTTTGCTAGGAACCCAGCAGCGGCTTCTGCAGATCCGTGGCCCCTGGAACCCATTGCTGAGAAAGCCTGCTAGGGGGCGGGGGGGCGTTTGGGCCAAAGGAAGCCAGTGCTTCCCGGCGGAAAGGGCTCGGCTGCCTTTCTCTTCCTCTCTGGAAGGGAGGTGCTGGGTGGCATCCTCTCCATTTGTCCCGGGGGGCAGGGTAGGGTGGCCTGCTCAGGCAGACGGGCCAGCCTCTGCGCCAGTCGGCTTTGCTCCCTCTCTGCTGGGCAAGGAGATGAAGACCCCAGGGGGATGGTCTCTGGGTTAGGAATGAACTGCCAGGAAGCAACCAAGCTCAGAGAGCGCCAAGGACTCCATGGTCTCCTTCACACCACGTGCGTAACTGTCAAGGCTGGGGCAGAATGTTGTGTGAACCGTGCCAATACGGGAGCAGATTTTACCCAAAATGTTATCAGGACAATTGTGGGTCCCCTTCATATAAACTACAAAACCTCAGTCAACTGCAAGGCAGTGTCTCAGACCCTCACCCTGGGCCATTCCAAAAAGTAGCCCACCTCCTGCTGCCCCCCCCCCCCCGCCTCACTAGTCCTGTCCTTGTGGGGTGCTGGGCAGGGCTGGAGTAAAAGGCAGGGGCTGATATTCCACACCCCCAATCTGGCCAGGAGGGCTGATGCACCTGCTTTTGAAAGCCTGAGACCTGGAGAAGCCCTGCCCTCAGAGAACCCTTGGGGGTGGCTACTGTCTGGGGTCTTTCCTCATATTCACTAATCCAATGCTATGCCAAGGTAACTGCCCACGGAGCGATTCCCAAGGATGCCCCCCTAGCAGTCCATAGAGTCCAGGCCCTCTTGGCTTGTGAAGGCAGCCTGGGAAGGGACCAGGCAATGCGTGCGTGCCATGGTATCGACCTCCTTGAGGGAGACAGCGCTGTGCCCGCTCCTTAAGAGGCCGTTGCTGGGCCTCTTCCTCCTGGATAACTATCAGCCAGGTTCCAGCCTTCCCTTTGGGGAAAAAAGTGTGCAGAAGGTGGTTGAATGGCAGTTGCAGAGGATCTCGACCCATTTCAGTCAGACGTCAGACTGGAGAACGGTATGGAAATTAAAGTTGGCCAGACCTGTGCTCCTTGATCTCTCACAGTTTCTGATACCTTTGACCACAGAATTTGGCTGGACCGGCTACGGAGTTGGGAGAGTGAGGTGGTCAGATCCTTACTCGGTGTTTCAGTGTTGATAGGAGGGGAAGGGATCGTGCCTGTGGACCCTTCCTTGTGGCGCCCATCAGAGTTCAATGCTTTCTCCCCTCTGTGAATCCACTTGGTGGGCACATCAGTTTGGGTTTTGGCTCCATAGTTTTTATTCCCCAACTATCTTGTAGGCAAGCTTGACCACCGAGTCCTGCCTGGTCCAGCCAAGCGATCAGTGGGTGAAAGATACCGATGCCTGCAGTGCCCCATTGGCCGTCCCAGAGGCATCGGTGCCCACCTCCTGGCTCTTGCTGCCTTGCAAAAGGGAGTCATTGCTTTCAGAAGTACATGTGAGGATCCAGGTGTTGATATTTGGAGGCTGCAGAAGCTTTAGCAGTTTGGAATTAGATGGTGAACTGCAAGATCTCCAATTATTTTTACACTGCGCGTCTGTCTATGCCATGATCGCTAATGGAGATATTGGCTTGGCTTGACATCTGTTTTGCGTAGAGTCATCTATTTTAGGTTTTTCAGCATCTGCTTTCATTTGGAGTCCATGACGCAAACTAAAACTCTCTTCAGAGCTTCTATGAATGTCACGAACTTCTCTGAAACCCTGACACCCCTTTTCTTCTTTCCAAAAGCGCTCTGTTGCTGCAAAAAAGCAGATGTTCTGCTTGGTAAAAGGCCTCGGTCCATCAGCCCATTTTAGTTCAGATACTATGAAGGGGAGGAAGGGGGAGGCCTGGCATCCCCCCCCAAAGGAGAATTAGATAATGGAGGACAGAGGGGCTGGCCAAAACCTACTCCTAAATTCTTTCCTGCAAATCACATCTCTGGACTGCCTCTGCTGCCTCCCCCACCTGCTCAGCTAACATTCTGCTTTAAAATAGAGCACAATAGTGACAACTGTGTTGAATGCATTTGGGTCAATATAAAAGGGGGGGGAACATCATCACCAAAGGTGAATACTATAGGCCAACCAACCAACCAGAGGAAATAGATGAACTTTTTGCTAGTTAGTTAACTAAGGTATGTAGGAAGCACATCACAATAGTAATGGGGGACTTTAACTACCCTGACATCAACTGGGAGACAAACTCTGCACCAAGTGGAAGATCAAACAGGCTCCTGACAAACCTAGCAGACAACTTTGTCTCCCAAAAAGTAGAGAAGGGAACTAGGGGATTAGCCATATTGGACTTAATTCTCACTAACAGATGAAATGATAGAAGGTGGTGGAGCTACAGGAGCCTTGGGGGACAATGATCATGCAATATTGGAATCAACGTGCAAGTATAACCTATAGAACAAAGTCAAACCAGAATCTTGGACTTAAACTTAGAGTTTGGAAAGAATTCCATGCATGAGAATCCCCAAGGGGAAAACAACTCAAGAAGCTTGGGAAAATTTGAAAAAGTGAGATTATAAAAATCCAGTCTAGCACAATACCAATGAAGGAGAAAAACAACATCTCTCAAAAGAAACCAGCATGGCTGCATAATGAACTCTGGGAAATTGAAAGACAAAAAGGACAAGTAAAAAAAGTGGAAAGCGGCACATGGCAAGAATATCAGCAAATGGCCCAAGCCTGCAAAGATGAAGTGAGGAAAGCTAAGAAAATGAACTAAGGCTTGTGACAAAAATAAAAAATAACAAAAAAAAGCTTCTTTCAACATGTAAAAATCAAGAAAAAAGTCAAGGAAATGTTCCTTTAGTGGGAGAAAGTGGCAAGAAGGGGACAAGCAACAGGGAGCAAGCAGAACTTGTTTTTTGCATCCATCTGCACACAAAGGGAAAAAAACAGTCCAACCTATCAAAAACAGTACCATAAAAAACATGAATGGAATGGAATAGAACAGAATAGAATAACTGGAAGGGACCTTGGAGGTCTTCTAGTCCAACCCCCTGCTCGAGCAGGAGAACCTATACTATTTCAGACAGGTGACTGTCCAGTCTCTTCTTAAAAACCTCCAGTGATGGAGCGCCCACGATTTCCGGAGACAAGCTGTTCCACTGGTTAATTGTCCTTCCTGTTAGAAAGTTTCTCCTTAATTCCAGGTTGCTTTTCTCTTTGGTCAGTTTCCAACCATTGTTTCTTGTCCTGCCCTAGAAACAAAAAATATCTATGGAGATTCTAAGTCATCCAGGTCATGGTTGTCCCAAAGCTTTTTCAGGAGGCAACTGGACTTCCTTGTTTTTCCTTGAAGACGTTTCGCTTCTCATGCAAGAAACTTCTTCAGCTCTGACTGGATGGTGGAGAATAGGAGGATTCATTTGCATTCTTTTAGCAAGTTGTTGATGCCCCTGGACCTCAGGGTCACCTGAGTAGTGCAAATGGGTATGGAGTTTTGGAACTGTTGAAAGGACTGTGTTGTAGACTGGAGATAAATGATGTCGTATCCCCCCCCCTCTGTTGAGAGAGGGCTATTCAATTTTGACCTAAGTGGCCTCTTTGATCCCTCTTTAGAAACACAAGTTAAAATAGGCAAGAAAATCATAAGTGATCACCTGTCCACCCTTGGCGAGTTCACATTACCAGGACCAGATGGAGTACACACCAAGGAACTGACAGACATGATCTCAGAACCACTAAAGCTATAGCTTTCAAAGATCCTGGAGCACCGGGGAACTATCAGAGGACTGGAAAAGAGCTGAAGTAGTTCCCATCTTCAAAAAAGGGGGGGTGGGAAATGGATCCAGGAAACTACAGACCTATCAGCCTGACTTCAATACCTGGAAAGATTCTGGAAAAGATAAGCAACAAATCAGCGAACTCCTAGAGGCAAGCAAAGTCATAACCAAAAGCCAATGTGGGTTTGTCAAAAACAGATCATGCCAGACAAATCTTATTGCATTCTTTGACCATGTGACAAAATTAATGGACCAGGGGAATGCTGTGGATATAATTT